GACTGTTGCGCCCATGACCCCCCCCCCCACCCCTGCGCCCGTTACTTTTGCACCGCTGACCCCCTCAACTCAGGCGCCGGTGACTGCTGAGCCCATCACGACCCCCCCCGTGACGACGCCCCCTGTCGCTGCCACACCTGTACCTGCAACGGTCACCCCAACCACCGTCACTCAGGCGCCGGTGACTGCTGAGCCCATCACGACCCCCCCGGTGACGACGCCCCCTGTCGCTACCACACCTGCACCTGCAACGGTCACCCCAACCACCGTCACTCAGGCGCCGGTGACTGCTGAGCCCATCACGACCCCCCCGGTAACGACGCCCCCTGTCGCTACCACACCTGCACCTGCAACGGTCACCCCAACCACCGTCACTCAGGCGCCGGTGACTGCTGAGCCCATCACGACCCCCCCGGTAACGACGCCCCCTGTCGCTACCACACCTGCACCTGCAACGGTCACCCCAACCGCCGTCACTCTGCCACCGGTGACTGGTGCGCCCATGATCCCGCCGTCGACGGCACCTGCTACAGAGGTGAGTGCTGCCTTACCGCCAACTACGGGTGTGCCGGTAGAGCCGCCGCGATGGTGAAGGCCAGAGGGTTTGCACGATTGTAAGGCGTTCGTGGTTGTACAAACCAGCGCAGGTTTTTGACGGGGCTGAACGAGCTTCGCCCCCTCCCCGCCCGCCCCCGCCAGAGAGCGCGGCCGGCGGTGGTTGCGGAACTGCCGTGATATTTTTTTTGCATTTGCAATACTCAATGTTCACGGCAGATTCGCGATCTGGAGGCCGTAGTGTCCTGAGTGAGTAGAACGTACGGCTAAAAGTTGGAAATGTAAACTGTAAAAACGAGGTGTCACGCGGAAGTGTTTGTGCGCGTGCTTCCGAAACATTAGTTCGGACCTTGGCTATCGCGAGACCCTGCTGGTTCATTTGGACGTCTTGCAGCAGCAGCCGCAGCAGCAGCCGCAACAGCAGCTTCCAACTGTCGCACACACATCACACACACCACCACCACCAGCGGTTCTAACCTCTCGAGACGACGTTTTCGTGACCTGCAAGCCATCCTGAACTGTTGTAGATGAAGCGCAAGAGCTCGTCTCCGCAGAGCGAACGCTTTTGTGACTTCTTGCGCGCCGCCGTTGTTGATCGACCTCCCCTCCCCCCCGTGTTTCTTTGCCGTCCTTTTCCCGCCTCATGCGACAAAAACATTCCAGACCCCTGCCCCGGCGCCCGCGGAGGTGGTAACAATTTCCCCCACGGCATCCACGCCGCCTCCGACAACGACCCCTCCTGCGATCTCTACTCCACATCCGAGCGTCGACACCCTGCCGCCAGCAGGTATTGCGACCCCCGGACCCATTGGTCTCGACACCCTCAACCCGTCAGTAGCCCCCGCGCCCACCTCGACTTCCACGGCCCCACAGATGATTCCCACGCAACCCCCCTCACTATCCGCGGCGCCCCTCTCCCCTACTACTGTTGCGCCTTCTGGCGGCCCCCCTTCCGGGGTGGTAGTCGGAACTCCGGGGCCGACCGAATCGGTACGGAGTATCGGCTCCGCGGCGCCTGCTGCGACCGTAGAACCGTCGGCTACCGCCGACCCCCTCCCGGGGATCGGAACGCCCGAGCCGAGTGTGACCGGGACAGCAGGAGGCGGCACCAGCGTGGCACCAGGTAAGGAACTTTCCCTATTTTTTGTTTGCTCGGCCCGTGGGTATTCGTCGTTATTCAGAACTACCGTACCGTGTACATAAAAAACGCAGAGAATCCCCATCGCGAGATACAACCACAGCAGCGGTCGTTTTCTTTCTCTCCCGTGCTTTTGTTTTATGTTTGATCCAATTTGCGGATGTAGCAGCGAAAGCCCGGGTGCAGATGGACCCCTGCCAACAGCAGTTGCTCGTCATCTTACCAACCTGAAGCGTTTCGCGCGGCCCCGCGCCGTCTTCTAGCGCTCTTTTAGCCCTTTCGATCTATTCCCGAGCTTGGACTTTATAGACACAAAAACCGCCATATGGCACGCTCCGGATACTGCTTGTAGCTGAGAGCAGACAAGGGATCCATCCTTCCGTTGAGAACACGGTGTCAATAAGGGGTGACGCAAGATGAAAATGAACGCAGGCAGCAGGACCTGTCCACTGGTTGCTGCGAGCTGGTAGGTTGTTGCGTTCCCCTAGCCCACGCAGCTGACGCGTTTTGACTCGAAGAGCCCGGCGAACCTCAACAAACCTAAAAAGAAGAAAACATTGCAAAAATCTGTGTACGATCTTGCACCGGGCACGGAGGAGCCAAACGTGCACCCATTTTCCCAAGCTCTCGGCCGAACGCATTTTTTTTCTGTCTGGCTGTCTTGTGTCGTTCTTGCTCGAATAGCCCGCCCCTCGATGAAAAAAGCTGGCCTCAGCCCACGCTGCGAGCCAAACGCAGCGACTTTGTGGATAGCATCTTCATTCTCTGGCAGGGTTGGGCGGTTCCCCCCTCACTACCCGTATTTACCATCTCGATCTCGGTGCAAGTACTGCTGTACGATGAACCCGTAAACAGCAGCGTTTCCAGGAGCTTACTACCCCGCTGATCTCTTTACGCGCTGTGCAGCCGGAACCACGCCCTTGTCTGATTGCATCTCTTCTTCCAGCAACAGCAGCAGAGAAGCAGCCACCACAAAGACCACAAAGCCTGAGACCACTACGCCAATGACTCTGTTTTTTATATCACGCTGACGTCAACCTCCTTCCTGTTGGAACCACCGAACCTCCAATCGTTTCTATCCCTCCAGCATCAGCAGGTACCACAGAGCCTCAGACCGGTGTGCCGTTGACTACTGCTCCTGGTTTAGCGACCCCCACCGCTCTTCCTGCTGAAACACTCGAACCTTCAGTCGTCTCTATCCCTCCAGCAGCAACGGGCAACGCAGAGCCTCAGACCGGTATGCCGTTGACTTCTGCTCCCGCTATAGCCGCCGGAACTGCTACCCCTCTTTCTGCTGGAACCCTTGAACCTTCGATCGTGTCTATCCCTCCAGCAGGAGCAGGTACCACCGAACAGCCTGGAGCCGTTGTGTCGATGACTTCTGCTCCTGCTATAGCCGCTGCAACCACTACCCCCCTTCCTGCTGGAACCACCGAACCTGCAATCGTTTCTATCCCTCCAGCAGCAGCAGGCACATCAGAGCCTCAGACAGTTGTTCCGTTGACCTCTGCTCCTGGTTTAGCGGCCCCCACCCCGTTTCCTGCTGGAACCCTTGAACCTTCGATCGTGTCTATCCCTCCAGCAGCAGCAGGCACCACAGAGCCTAGAGCCGTTGTGCCGTTGACTTCTGCTCCTGGTATGGCCGCTGGAACCGCTACCCCTCTTCCTGCTGGAACCACCGAACCTTCAATCGTTTCTATCCCTCCAGCAGCAATTACCACAGAGCCTGAGATCGGTGCGCCGCTCACTTCTGCCCCTGGTTTAGCTGCTGCAACCGCTACCCCCCTTCCTGCTGGAACCACCGAATCTGCAATATTTTCTATCCCTCCAGCAGCAGCAGGCACATCAGAGCCTCAGACAGTTGTTCCGTTGACCTCTGCTCCTGGTTTAGCGGCCCCCACCCCGCTTCCTGCTGGAACCCTCGAACCTTTGATCGTTTCTATCCCTCCAGCGGCAGCAACCACTACCGAACAGCCTGGAGTTGTGATGCTGACTTCTGCCCCTGGTGTAGCCGCTGCAACCCGTACCCCCCTTCCTGCTGCAACCGCCGAACCTTCAATCGTTTCTATCCCTCCAGCAGCAACCACCACCGAACAGCCTGAAGCCGTTGTGCCGTTGACTTCTGCTCCCGCTATAGCCGCTGGAACCACCGGACCTTCAACAGTTTCTGTTCCTCCAGCAGCGTCAACCACCACCGAACAACCTGGAGCCGTTGTCCCATTGACTTCTACTCCCGCTATAGCTGCTGTAACCGCTACCCCCCTTCTTGCTGCAACCGCCGAACCTTCAATCGTTTCTATCCCTCCAGCAGCAGCAATCACCACCGAGCAACCTGGAGCCGTTGTGTCATTGACTTCTGCCCCTGGTATTGCGACCCCTACCCCGCTTCCTGCTGGAACCACCGAGCCTTCAATCGTTTCTATCCCTCCAGCAGCAACCACTACCGAGCAACCTGGAGCCGTTGTGCCATTGACTTCTGCCCCTGGTATTGCGACCCCTACCCCGCTCCCTGCTGCAACCGCTGAACCTTCGATCGTTTCTATCCCTCCAACAGCAGCAACCACTACAGAACAACCCGGAGCCGTTGTGCCATTGACCTCTGCTCCCGCTATAGCCGCGGTAACCGCTACCCCTCTCCCTGCTGCAACCGCTGAACCTTCGATCGTTTCTATCCCTCCAACAGCAGCAACCACTACAGAACAACCCGGAGCCGTTGTGCCATTGACCTCTGCTCCCGCTATAGCCGCGGTAACCGCTACTCCCCTTCCTGCTGAAACCACCGAGCCTTCGATCGTTTCTATTCCTCCAGCAGCAGCAACCACCACCGAACAGCCTGGAGCCGTGGTGTCATTGACTTCCGCTCCTGGTATTTCGACCCCCACTCCGCTTCCTACTGGAATCACCGAACAGCCTGGAGCCGCTGTGTCATTGACTTTTGCCCCTCGTGTAGCAACCCCCACCCCTCTTCCTGCTGCAACCCCAGGACCTTCAATCGTTTCTATCCCTTCAGCAGCAGCAACCACCACCGAACAACCTGAAGCCGTTGTGTCATTGACCTCTGCCCCTGGTATTGCGACCCCTACCCCGCTTCCTGCTGGAACCCTCGAACCTTCGATCGTTTCTATCCCTCCAGCAGCAACCACCACCGAGCAACCTGGAGCCGTTGTGCCACTGACTTCTGCCCCTGGTATTGCGACCCCCACCCCGCTTCCTGCTGCAACCCTCGAACCTTCGATCGTTTCTATTCCTCCAGCAGCAACCACCACCGAGCAACCTGGAGCCGTTGTGCCACTGACTTCTGCCCCTGGTATTGCGACCCCCACCCCGCTTCCTGCTGCAACCCTCGAACCTTCGATCGTTTCTATCCCTCCAGCAGCAACCACCACCGAGCAACCTGGAGCCGTTGTGCCATTGACCTCTGCCCCTGGTATTGCGACCCCTACCCCGCTCCCTGCTGGAACCACCGAACCTTCAATCGTTTCTATCCCTCCAACAGCATCAACCACTACAGAACAACCCGGAGCCGTTGTGCCATTGACCTCTGCTCCCGCTATAGCCACGGTAACCGCTACCCCCCTTCCTGCTGAAACCCCGGAACCTTCTATCGTTTCTATCCCTCCAGCAGCAACCACCACAGAACAACCAGGAGCCGCT